CCCCTTAAAACCCGCAACAGACTCTAACTCCCCTCACAACCTTTGGGCTGTGGTCGGGGTCCAGCAGTAATAGTTACTGCAGCTGTTGTCGCAACTGCAGCGATAGTCAGATGTGGTGCATCTGCTGCTGCAGCAGCAGATGCAACCTCTCCAGCAACTGCAGAAATGATGTCAATAGAACAACTGCAGCAGATGTGGTGCATCTGCAGCCGCAGCAGCATATGCAACCCCTGCAGCAACTGTGGAAATGATGTTAATGCAACTACTGCAGCAGCATATGCAACCCCTGCAGCAACTGCAAAAAAAAAAAAAAAAACGGGCCTACGACTTCAGATGGTGGGAAAGGGCGGGGGGGGAAGGGCAAGGAGGGGGGCAAGTGGGAATACAAGGGATAGTAAACCACGATTACCCGAGTGGATCCTCTACCCGCCCGTACCCGCCCCCCATTTTTTTTGTCTGCCCCCCGTACCTGTCCGTACCGGTTTTAGTTTTATGTTTGGCTGGCTCTACTTGCCCGTGATCTTCATAAATACTAATTGTGCCTACCCATCATCTCTAGAAAAAATAAATTTGCCTGCCCATAACCCACCCCCCCTTCGGAAAGGGGCACCCAGACCTACCCTTGACCTGACGGTTACAGTTGGGTGCGGTCGGGTACGGGTAACGGTTACCCATTTGCGCTCTCTGGCATGGGAGCTCCAAGCAGCTGCCGAGGAAGAAGACAGACAGCGAGCCGAACAGGAGAGCGAGAGGGAACGGGACATGGAGGCGCAGAGGTATCTCGAAAAGGAGAGACACAACCCGACGTCGCTGGAAGAAGAGGCCGCCCGAGAGAGAGAAAGAAAGCCCGCGACCTTCCTCCCTCCAAAGTCAAGGAAGAGTGTTGGCTAGCACTTGATATGGCGAGGAGGATCGTGAGGCAACGTGCAGCAGCGAAGAAGAACGAAGGAGCCGAAGGAGATGCATAGCACGGTGGACGGAGGAAAGGGGGTGATCGCGCAGACACACACAAAGAGAGAGAGAGAGAGAGAGAGAGAGAGAGAGAGAGAGAGAGAGAGAGAGAGAGAGAGAGAGAGAGAGAGAGAGAGAGAGA